ACGTTTTCTTCCGGATATCGATTATCCGACGTAGAATTCGCAAAACAGCAATGCTTTGTTGGCAATATACTAGCACAAAATAATTTTTTATATCAGATTTATATTTTTAAATAATGAATTAATATTACGTAAATAACACTGTTTTACATGTGAATAGTTCATGTTTGTCCCTAGTACTAGTGCTGCCTCTCGTGACACGTTCGCTGTACTATTCTTAGGAAAAAGGCTCGTTCTAGACGCGTTTATCTGTTGAAATTTTATCTCAAAACTTACCTGTTCTCCAAGAATGAGATTGTAATTTGTTTTGCAAATTCAATGTGTTATCTCATTAACAATCTATTAACCAACTGAGTGAGGTAACTTATTGTTGTATGTAAGAATTGTAGGCCAGTGTTTAACCATTTATTATTACCGATGAAGTTACGGGGTTAGCGAAATATGTCTAGAATTAAAAAAATGTTTGTGAAAATTTAATAAATTATCATCATGGATAATGTTATTGATTTTCATCAAGTAATTGGTCAGTGTATTCAGAATATGAATATGGTGAATTCTGAGAAGCAAAGCATAAGAAATTGAAAAGATACATCTTTAGGAAAGAATAGTTTTTGGGAAAGATTTTGGTTTTCTGCTTCTCCATCTTTATACAAAAAAAATGGGGAAAATTCCAAAGGAAGGAGGAAAGCAAATAACTTCGAAATGTACTGCTTACGAAGATATGTAAATCATGCATAGAAGTTACTTTCAGATGAAAACTGGAAGAAAAAACCCTTCCGAAAAAACTACCTTCGAATTGAATTATGAAAAAATCACATTTCCATATTCAGTTTCTGAGTTTGCACTCCAAACATTTGTTATGGAATCGAATCAGATATCCTTCACAGGATTGCTTCACAATATAGTGTACGAGAGTTACGATATGAAATTTCATTTACACCTGCCGGACTTAGTCATGGTCGGTGAGAAGCCCCTTCCTGTAGATGAGCAGTAGATGTGTAGAAATCCCAATAAGTTGATGAATGTAGCCGTTACTACGTGGTAGGAAATCATTATGAAGAAAAGAGAATTGAAACTTTCTATGTTTTTTACAACTTTTATTTATAACTAACGTTACTGCACTTTTGTCCTATAAGAACATTTTCAAACTTATACTTTAATGTAAAAGTTTGAAAAAGTCCTTATAGGACGAAACTACACTAACGTTAGTTACAAATAAAAATGGTAAAAAACATAGAAACTCTCAATTCGCTTTTCTTCGTGTAGAAATCTGTTATCGGTCTGTTAGATTATTCGAACCGTACTACGCAAACAAATGTTTCTTTTCCTTCCTTCCTAACACTTTTTTTGTCATACACCGACCCAAACTTTACGCATATGCGGTATCAGTTTGGATAATATTACAAGATGAAGCACACAATTCATTCATAACATTACGACTTTATGTCACGAATGAGTTGAATCTACTTATGTCACGATGACAGTACGTGATGACTTTCTAAGCTTATGGACTAGCCATAGGAATTTTGTTTGAATTGAAAGGGGTATATTTCTAGGAGTTTGAAATAGAATTATTCAAAAATCACTTTCTCCTATTCAGTTTGTAGGTACTCCAAATATTCTTTATGAAATTCAAAAAGATATCATTCATAGGAAAGCTACACAATATAGTGTATGGAAAGTTACGATAAAATTTCACTAACATAGGGTGTAATTCGAAGTTTCGGTATGATATATTTGTCTTATTGCCTCATCAGAACCAATCTATATATAGATGAAAAAGAAAAAAGCCAAAACATTCATTTCGCGAAGCATAGGAAAGTAAATTTAAAGATATAAAAAATATCATATTAAAAAATAATGTGGCAATTCATTTTATAATACTACTGATAGTCCTTTAGGTATTGGGATGAATATTTTATAGTTTGGAACTCGTATTTATTCGAACCTTTCAGGGACTGTTTTCTAAGATATAATAAAAGGCTAGTATAAAAGGTGCCCAGCTACATATTCGAATGAAATGTTGGAATGAATAGAACTGGGTCGGGAATCCGACCCAAAAATATGGGGAATATTTTGCCCCTTTATGGCTTCGCCCCTCAAAATGGGTTGCCCCCGGCACGCCGGATAGAGTTGTGCAATGGGAGATGGCATTTGAGGTGGAACTCAAATTCATACCGAAGTGAAAAATGAATGGATTTCATTTTTTCATACAAAATTCATAGGAGCGTTAAACGGAAAAATAAAAAATTCGATTTGCTTTGGAAAGAACAGCTATTTTGAAAATTTCGAGTGAGAAGTTGACGGAAAGGGACACCATTTCCAACAATAAGATTATCGGGATTGATTCAACAGATTTTTTTTCCATATCTAGCCTAACAAATTATCTGGAGACTATTGTCAGCTTCGAAAGTCAACACAGATGACCTGGATCCACTAGGCTTTTGAGGACCTGTTAGTTCTTCTCGGGACTGGTCGTTTTCACTCAGTGGGTTATGCAATATTCTTATGTATCTTTCCGTATGTTGAGTTCACTCTTTCTTTGCATCTCTGTCGTTACCGACAAATCCATCTGCAGATGACTCGTTGAAAACGTTTTTCTGGGAGGCCCTCTTTTCTTGATTGATGGTCTGGAATCATAGTCCAATTGCTGGAGTTTGTTCGCTTGCTCGTATAATGCTGATTTTTCGTTAAAAGTCCCTCCCAATTTTTCGCTACCTCTAAATCTAGATTAGCATTCGATGCGGAGTTAATGGTCAGATCTAGACCTAGATATAGATTCACAGATGAGATGTTGGGATAAAATATCTTTCTTTTATTTTTCACGTTGGAATCCTGCACGTTTTCAGAACAAAAATATCAGTCATCATGATTTTCTGGTTCTCTACATGCTGTAAAAATATCAAAACTTAAAGCTTGTTTTTCTTACTTGAGTTCACTACTTCAATTCCTCAAAATATTGAAAATATTTTATGGGAGGTTTTTCTCGGTTGCCTAACTTCATGGGAAAGCAAAATTACGTATTGCTTCTTAATTTTTACATACGAATAAAAAACTTTACTTTTTGTTCTTCTGGCATGACATATTATTGAGCTGCTCACGACTGTGTAGGCACTACAATATTTGAGTTTCCCATTTTTAACACCAACATTTTCTCATGTTCTAACTTATCTTCGATCTAGAAGAAAATAGTTTCAGAAACTTTAAATACCTATAGTCAATCAAAATTTCAGCCAGAAAACCTGAAAAGTGTTCAACGTGATGATTTCAATTGACAAATTTTTTTAAAACCGATTGAAATAAATCAAATATTAAATGTTGAGTGAAGCTTACTAAAATATATAATAGTGTGAACCGCTACCAAATCGCCCAAACCTTTTTTGAGGTCAGCGGGGACATAAGCACAGGCAGATAGACAAAAATTCTAAAAAACATAGTTTCAAGTTCTATTGTGTCGATAAAGATCTCCAATATACTAGTTTTTTTCAAATATATTGCATGTACAGAGAACCATCAGTCATAATTGTATTCATCAATTTTGAATTTTCAAATACTGATCCATTTGATTATTACAATAGAGATACTATTACAATTATTCATTCAAAATGGTTGTTGAAAAAATTTTGAGAAAAATATAGATGTAACATTCACATAAGAAATCCAGAAAAGAAAAAAAATGTGACGAAAGATGGGAAATATTGCAAAATAAGCTATTTTCAATAAAATAGCTTAACTGAATTTCATTGTTATACTAAACGAAAGTGATTTTTTGAGGAGGAAATCAGAGTTTGAACGTTTGAGAGTAATTTTTTTTTCTTCAATTTGAACTGGGGAACTTGATCCAGACGGAGATAAGGCAAACTTTCGGTTTCAGAAATGTGCTGAGTAAACAAAATCGAAATGAACTGAGAACGATATTCGTACATACAGACACCGATGACCCGAAAAAAAGAAAGCATTTGCATTTCTCACGTGCCTTGTTCTTTTTTAGCAAATTACATTGGTGAGACATCAAGGCCATCGAAAATGCACGGAAATGAATATCGAGATGACATCAGAAAAAAACAATTGACAAAATCTAAATCATCCGAACACAGGTTCTTTTTGTTTCAGGAATAGATTCAAATTTGTATTTCATATTTCAATTTTTTTTAAATCTGTCGATTTGGAAATACTAATTATAAATAGGCTAAATATAATCGGTTTTTCGAAATGTGATTACGGAAACTGATTTTGGTTTCCAAAACACTAGATATGTTTTAAAATATGTTTCTCCGTTAACCAGCTGTCGCACCGCTACGAACGACAACCCACAGAAGTCGAAACTTGTGCGAGCTAAGGACTAACGGGATCTTACCTTTCAACGTCTGATTCCTAACACGGGTTGGACGATATCAAGTGAAAATCGATCGTTCAGCCTGCGGCTTGAACCACCGACTCACACATCGGTCGATTGAGAGAGTGAACAAAGCACGCACGTCGACCGGCTACCGACTTTAACTGTTTATATAACTGAAGGAATAGCATTGTCTATTTATGATATTCCTGTTGTAGACAGACATTGAATCCCATCATTTGATAGCAACATATTTTGTAATTTTTTTCCTCTATCCATCATCAGCCCACCTAATTAGATAAATTATCGGTAGTCACATTTTTGATTGAAGTTGAGTTTGAACTCAGGAAGTCACCATAAGGTTTATCACGTATTATTTTTTGATACAATTCATTATTATTAATAAAAACGACACGTAACAGATAAGTAGAGACAGAAATAATGGATTTACACAGTAATGTATCAGAGTGAACTAAAGTTTGCTATTCCATACTTGGAAAGAGTTTTTTTGGGTATAATCATTTCTCCAGCTTGTGAAGATGAAAACACCCTTTTCGAAGTTATGGCATATCTGGCTTATCGTTGACACCTTGAACTACGGAATATGCAAACGAAATAAGTGTCACTGAAAGGTAAGATAACTATATTTCAGCTGTCAATCTCTCACCCCATCTCCATTGGAACTACCATTCATGCTGTAATATAATACTCTCGCCGTTCGATACATTTCTCCCTCATGATGTAGCACAGCGCTATCGTAATTAGAACGGCGATTGCAATCCCCATTCCTATGCTGACCCATATTATTTCTTCATTTATGCCCTGATAAGACCGACCTGCAACAAAGGAAGGTTTAATTGACGACAAGAATTGTGGGACCTTCATGAGGTGGTTTCTTACAAAGAGAGCAGAATGAAATTACCCTTGACAAAAATACTCTTCTATCTTATGATACTAAACATGTTTCACATTCTTGCAACATTCAGTCTCTAAGTAACCATTTTCGATATCAAAAGTTGAAAGTTTTGCTCAATGATTCAACCGAAGCAAAATGTGAAGTACATGGCTTTTGAATTTTTGAATGATAAGTTCTTATGGGAGGATGAACCGCTTCGTTACCTAACGCGTTACAGTGTCAGTCTGTCTGGCTTTCCTTTCTCTCACGCATGTCAGCGGAAGACAGGCTCCTCCCCTCTCGTTGGAAAGACGCTCAGTGTTTAGTGTGTGATAAACATATACTGTTGACGGTATTATAAAAATCTAACCAGCAAGCACGTAATATTCTTTCATTATGTGAAACTGGGCTTAAAAATGATGATACTAATTTTGTGTATGTACATTGTTACTATCATTATTTGATCCTACGAAAGTAACAATTGGCTTATAGTAGCAACAATACACAAAATAATCAATAAAATATTTTATTAATGAATGACCTTTCCTTACATTATCATATGTATATAAGTACATAACATTTAGGTAATCTAAGCTTTCTCAAGTTAAACAATGTCAACACTGAATAGTTCAACTTAGATTAGTTTAAGTTATCACTTCTGTCGGGCGTCCCGAGACGCACACGTTTTTTTGCGTTTACAAATTTTACATATTTTTTTTTTCTAACCAATTCAAAAAATCCAATCCGGTTTGATGATGTCATATTATTACTTGAACGTGATATTAAAAATTCGACAGAGTTGATTGAGTGCATCAAGGAAACATAATGGTGCATATCAATTCATTCATTCTGGAAAATGGTGAAACACTGAATTTTCCTCTCGGGAATGTATAGATGGGGTCAAAATATCACCAGTACTTCATATAACTTTTT